CCCCCCCACCCGTGCCCTGCGCAGATCCAGGGGCACACGCCCCCCCCCCAGGGTTTACGCAGCAGCAGGAGCCGCCCTCCCCCCCACTCCATGCCACTGGATGAGCCGCGGCTCCGTCCCACACCCACCCCATCTCCACTGAACAGCTCCTGCCTCAGCCCTACTCCCTCACCACAGGGGGCATTGATCTGCCCCCCCAGGCCCCTTCTCCCCACTCCCCTTCCACCACAACAGACTTACCAGCTGCACGCAGATCTCCAAGCTGCCGGGCTGCATTCCTCACTGCCTGCTTGTTATGCCACAGCTGCGCACATGCATGGGCATTTATCGGCCACGAGGCCAATTTCCGATGCACTCAATTTTCTTTATATTGGTGCCGATCCGATATCAGACCAATGTATCAATGCACCTCTAGAATAAAGGCAAAATGCCACAGCCAATGCAAGAGTAATCTTGCATCATCTGACCTGGATGCTATAATGGCTTTTTGGATGCAAGGATGTAGGAAACACAGCTTAGATTTTAACATTGCTGTAACACTTATCTGTCCCCCTGATTTCTAGAATTTCTTTAACAGATAGACAGTTGGGGTGGTTTTTTTTTTTTGGTTTTTTTTTTGAAGATGATGCGTCTGATAGCCAGAGCGGAAACTAAACTTGGCCCTTAGCAGCATCAGTTTATCCTTCTCAAATACAGTACCTGCATTCCAGAGTGGCCTACCTCAGACTTTTGTGCTGCTTGAATATTTTCTATTTCTCTCAGTCTAGAATTGGATACTTGAAGTTCTGCTGATTCATCTGAAAGATAAAAAGTTATTAATATTACAGTTTCCTAGTCTGAATGATTCTTAACTCTGTGGCAACAGACAAAATGGGATTCTCAAGTAAAGAGGTACATTACAGTTTTGCTGGGCTTTGTTACACGAGTTCACGAAACATTACTTTATTTTTGTTTCTTTTCTACCTTTATGAATATTTTATGGACTAGGGAATATAACAGCTTTCCAGTTCAGAAGTTTGGAATTCTCTACACTTTGCGAGCCATATCTTGGAACCAATGGCTAAATGTAAAATTAAAACTTTGAAAGGAATAAGGAACTTATTCTTGTTTCCAAATAAATTACTATTCTGACAAGAAGTTGTTTTGCTTTTCATTAGTGCTTTGATGTAGATAAATAGCCAGCTAACATTGCACCCAATGAATGCCACCTGCCCCCAGCAGCGACTAGGGAACTCCCACAGGCAGCCAAGGCACTGGCAGGCCGAGTGGGGAGATCCCGCAGGTGGCCGCGGCAGTGTAAGCAGCAGGGGGAGGCGAGGGGGTGGCAAGCGCCGACCAGCGATTGGCAACCACCCACAGACACTGCCGGCAGTGTCGACGGCGTGGGTGGGGTGGCAAGCAGCGACCACCTGCTGGCACCGTCAGCAGTGCTTTTGGCAGAGAGTGTACCACCAGCTCAGGGGGTGCATGTGCACTTGTGTGCACCCCCTCCACGTCACCAATGTTTCACTCTGCAGTTTTAAACACCTTAATGATTTTTTTTGGCAACACCTCATCCATAGATAACAAGTTTCTGTTCACATTTTTGTCTTACTTATTTGAATTTCTCAGCCTTGCTATATCCTCTCAAAATGAGACAATCAAATTCAGAAATAGCTTAGCATTAGAGATGAAAGTTCATCACAGGATCCTAGGAGTTGATGATGCAGGAGCTTCCTTCCAGTCTAGTCCCCAGCTATAAAAAGCTATTACATCACTTTACTACCACATTTAAAATCTTATCAAGCTTCACCTTAATTCTAGTTAGGTTTCTTTGACCTGACTATTCTAATTGGGAGGCTATTCCATGAGCTCATTCTTTTGAGGATTAGAAATCTGTTAATTTTCAGACTAAATGCATCTGTTGTCAGTTTATACACATTTGTTCTTGTGCGAACATTGTCCTCCCTGGTGTTTACTCTCTTCCATGACAGTTTCACAATAAACACATACTCTCCTCAGTTCTATTGAGAGGTTAAACAAGTTCCTTTATACAGGATCCTTTATAATCTCTTTTCTCAAGACAGATTCTTTATCCCCGACGACCCTAAAAGCGCATCACTACGGGCACACGTGCAGTTTCCAGCACCACAAACCCATCTGCAGCACTGCAAATAGTTTCATAGTTTCTAGGGTTGGAAGGGACCTGAGC